CTTACAAAACTTTGTTGTCTTCAAATCTGGTAAATGCCACTTTAAGCTTAAAGCTTAAAGAATGAAAGTATATATATATATATCAATAAGCTGCTTTTTGTAAAGCTTCTGCAAGAAGTTGAAGATGCTTGTGTTTACTGCTTTATCAATATCATGAATCATCATTAAACATGAGAACAACTTTTCTCTTTTTGATGAATTATCTTTTTGACTAATCATATTATAGATAAACACTACTAGTCTTCATCAAATTTATTTAGCTTTTTTGGTAAGATTATGGGGGTTAGGTTAGGGTTTTGAGCATGCAAATGCAGTATGACAAAAGAGAGAGATTGTTTTTTCAGTAAAAACTGGCAAATGGTAGAGATTGTGACCCATTACATCATATGTAGGGCCCATAATCATCAAAATCTGTCTTAATGAAACTGTGATAAGATGATAAATGTAAACCACTCAATTTGGTTTGCTCATCTGTTTATACATATGATGAATATAATGGACTTTATATTCAGGCAAACTATATATATATATATATATATATTCATTTGAGACTGTGAGTGATGATTATATATTGATAACCTTTCACATTATTTCAATAGTAAATAATAGTAGTAGTAAAGAACAGAAATGAGAAAACAAAATTTGAAATCCAAACAAATAAATTTGACAATTTAAAACACGAATGGTGATACAATACAAGCACAATATAAAAATAGGATAAGAATGTGACATAGATTAAAATTATAGTAATAATTATATATGGATTTAATAAAATAAAAAAAATTATTTTATATATTTGTATCGATATAAATTATAATATGTAATTTTTATATAAAACATGATACAAATATACAAATTTTAATATTTTATATGATACAAGTATATGAATCATGTCTAAAAACAGAAGCTGAAAAAAGAGATAGCTCAAAAAATAGTTCATATGTCTAGATGTAACACAAGGATAATGGTGAGGTCCATCTCATAAAGGAGCCATTCAATTCGGTTAGAGATTCTGGCTTTTTTGGAGCTCATCAATTGGTGGGTGTGGCTCCAATTTAATGTGGTGGAACTGCCTTTCTTTTTCCTCTTCCATTTTCATTCATCAAGAAATATCATTGTAACGTGAACAGAAAGGGACAGACAGTAAATCTACTACAAGAACAATCCCAATAACATTTTTTATTTACCCTTTTCTGTCAAAAACTTTACATTGCATATAAGAACATTAATTTGTTGGTGACCAAACACCAAGTTACTGTAAAAATGGACTGTTTTTCACCATGGGGTGCTAATCTTTTACTAAAACATTACTCTCAATTAGTTAACAGGCTAACAGCCCAAGCATGCATAACATCTCTCTTCCATCCTAATGCAGATTACTGATTCACCAATTTAACCAAACTGTAAGGAAACCATTAAATTATAAATGTTTGTACTTTGTATAATATCTTGATAGGTCATTTCAGCATTGTCTCAATTCTGAAGATCTCTAACAGGCACATGGCTATCTATCTATCTATTTATACAAGTATTGTGATGCCTGAATTGAGCTGACCTATCAGATTGAGTGATGATGAAGGAAAAAAGAGCACAAAGCTAAAAGTTAAAGGTACTGTCCAAGAGCAAAATTCAATGAAGAAACAAACTAGCCAGAGACCTGTGAATTTTGTACCCAATAGCACATTTATTGCGGATTAGAGTACACTGCTTTGGACTGAATGCACCAAGGGTTAATTCAAAAAACAGAAATAGGTTAACAACTAGCAAGAAAAGTTATCACTATATTTTGTGTTATCAAAACAACAATGCTATATATGCACGAGAAGAGGACATTTTAATTATGAAAGAATCTCCAAAGTTTTTGTTTTAAAGCTGAAAACTGCTAAATCACAAATATACAGTTAATTTAGACAAAGCATCGATGCATTGGCAACTATCCATGAACTTTCGCATTAAACTTTGCTGCTTTGGTACTTTGCAATTTACATCCTGCCTTGCCGAATGCAAAAAAAGAAGAGAAAATTACACCATGTAATGTAATGCCAAATAGGTATAAGGTCCTTAGTGCTATTTGCTAAATTTTATAACAATATTTGTTGCCTACTCAAAGGGACCCAACTCAAAGCCTAGAGGAAAAGGAAATTGAAAATAGTACGACTTAATTGCAAATATTGCTATTTTCTTTAATTATTTGCTTCCAAAAGGCCCTTGTGATTGATGGGGAATTACAAAAATTTTGTTGTGTTTCTTAACTAGATGGTGTGCTTACCTCCATTGGCATTCAAATGGGGCAAAAGCAAAGCTTTTGAAAAGGATTGGAGTAGGAATGACAAATGATTAAAACATAAAAAGATCCAAGCTTATCTCTAATAACCCCTAAACAAAAGCAAAGATCTTTTTTCCCATTTAATCTTTGAATTCATGTGAGATTGGTTTTGATAATTTCAACAGCCAGCTTTCAAAGAGGGGGCCTCCCTTGTCTCCATGATGGGAAGCACATATGACAAGCAACGCAATCACCAACATACACATACCCACTCCAACCATAATTATCATCACAACACAAAGGAATTGGTCTTCTCCACATCAAAGCAAAGCTATAAGTTTTTAAAAAGAGAAAGCAAGTGAACAAGAAAAAGAAGAAACAAATAAATAAAGGTATATGCTCTCATTTCTTCAATGATTCATGCCAAAACCATCCTAAAGTTGCTTAATTATCAAGTTTGGAAGAATGATTAAAGAAAAGGAGAAAACTAAAGGAGATGTGTGTATGCAAGGATATCACCATTATGGTGACCAACAATCGCATGGATTATTCATGCAACACAAAGTCAAAGACATTAGTATATTTTTAAAGAACATTTTCCAAGTTTTTCCTTGCTAGATGGGAGTGAAATAGATACCATGTAAATTGTATGTCATTACAATGGAGTGGTTTAAGCTAAAATACAAGTTAATCCCCATCATCAGTTATTCTTCTTCTTCTTCCCAAATGAATATTGCTGTTGTTCAATAGCGAAAAGGGTCTCAACAATCACGCCAACCTGCCAACTTTTGAATTTGGAAAGTAAAAGTCTTTGGACCAATTACCCCAACAAAAATTCTTATTTTCTTGGTTCTATACTTCTCTTTCATTTCTTATGTACTATATCAATTCATTCAGGGACATGCCCCATCCAATGAAAATTTTAAGCATCTCAATTCTCATTTCCCTATATATATAGGGTTTAGGGTTTATTATACTTGGGTTAATTGTGAATCTCCATTTTAACATATAGAATGACATATATATTGCCACCTGAAAGTAGCTCTCTAGAGCATAAAAGATGGCAAGGAAAGGAAAGAATTTAATTTGCCATGCAAAACTGGTTAGATGTTGTTGACCAGAAGAGGAAATGTAGTTGTTAGATTTTAGGAAATGAATTAATGATGACTGCATGATTTGAATAAACTTGAGAAATACATGTGAGATAAAAAAAAAAAAAAAGCTGAAGGGATGTAAATTTTGAGCAAGCAGTGCACGAAACTGATAAGAAACATGAAAGGGAAGCAATCACATTACAAATCAACATTTCAAGACAATAATATCAGCAGTTAAAGCCATGTTTCTAACAGGAAATTTTCAAAATTTCAAACAATTCTTCATTTGATTTTAGGTATTAATTGTTATCAAGTTTTAAAAGGATTGATCAAGATATAAAGTTTAAATTTTCTTCCAATTATAAAGACGAAATATTTTAATAATCAGAATTAATTACGCATCAAAATCACCATCTTAAACCAATATTATAGCCAGAATTCACTTGTTTGTGTTGGTTGTTATAAGAAGTGGTACATTCCTAGGCATATAATGAAATTTTCCTAGGCAATGGAAAAACAATGAATTTTTCTTCAAATCAAACTCATACAAACATCAGCAGTTATTATTGTACCATGGTTTGGGTTAGGTTATTTGTTTATATTGTATTTTATATGCAATCACTATATCCCTGTATAAATAATTAATTGGACAATTGATATATAGAAGAAATCGCTTTCAAAGCAAGGGTTGAAAAATGTTACCCTTCTTTAAGAAAATGGACATCTTTGTCATAGCAGAGATTCAAGGGAGTTCCTGTCTTATTCTGATGCTGTCATTGGCATCCACTCAACCTAAAGGATTTAATTACTTTGACAAATGTACCTTTGTGATTATTTCCCTTGGTATAAACATATATAGAATGCAGCTAAGCTGGCATCCTCTAGCCTGGTTCTTTCTCTCTCCTAATTTCTTTATTGAAAATTTTCTTCTACGTAAACCCTTCAAACACTTTTATCAAAGAACATTTTTCAAGTAATTCTCTTTATTTTCTCTCTTCTTCACTTTCTTTTCTCAATCCCAAAGTTAAGGAACCTAACACTGATAGCATCACTTTCTTTACAGTTAAGAAGTATTATATGATCTACTATCACTCGATGTTTGATGTTAAGATTACAAAAGCATGACAAGTAAGCCTAACATATATATTATGAAGGGATTTTGTTTTGAAGGTGGCCCATCAACTGTCAGAACTTAGGAATACTTGGGGTTGTCAGGACTCTGGGACCCATTCCTATAGTGGAGCATCTCCAAATTGAACAAATGGAAGTAGCATCAACCCCTTCATTTGTAACTGCATCCATTTGTTTTTCTTTTGGCAGATTATGTAACTGAAACTAAAAAACACTCACCAGTCTTTCACATTTGAGGGTAGTGATCCTATAAATAATTTCCTCTTTAAATTTTTTTTAATGATGTATTAGAAAGATGGACCTCATTAACCTCATTATACGATCTCAGTTTGCCATTTGTCAAAAAAATCACTCATCCACGTGGACAATAAGTCCCAAGAGATGGCACCAATGTATTGCTGCTTGGATGGAAGTAGCAGGTAAAGATGAAGAAGATGTAATGCAGAGAAAGGGAAGGAATCCATCAATCTATGGAATATGGCCATATGGGGATGTGGTTCGAGTGTTTTAGAGCTGCTGTCTTGGAGTGCAGTTGGCTGTTAAAGTTGCCATCGTATCTACAGTGAAAATGGGTAAGAAAGAAAGGACAGGCTACAGTACAGGACAGAGAAAAAAAAATGACATTGTAAAACCGAGAGTAAAAATTGACATTTCGGGGTGTGCTTTGGGATTGCAATATTATAATAGTAGTTTGTCCTCACATTCCTTGCCAAAAAAGGTGAAAACTCATGGAAGTCTAGGACTTTTCAGGTCACCTTCTTCAATCAAAGAGGACTCTTTTTTATTTTTCTTTAATTTGCCCCCACCCCATCCCCTTTTTACCTGTTCATGGATCCCAAGGGCTCCAAGCAGCCTCCACAGGAAGTAGCCAACTTCTTGAGCCTGCCACCACAACCCCAACAACAGCAGCAACAGCCTCAAAACATGGGTGAGAATAAACCAGCTGAAATCAAGGATTTCCAGATTGTTGTTGCAGATAAAGAAGAAGGGAAGAAACAACAGTTGGCCCCAAAGAGAAGTTCAAACAAAGACAGGCATACCAAGGTCGAAGGAAGAGGTAGAAGGATAAGGATGCCTGCTTTATGTGCAGCTAGAATCTTTCAGTTGACCAGGGAATTGGGTCACAAATCTGATGGGGAAACAATACAGTGGCTGTTACAACAAGCCGAACCATCAATAATAGCCGCCACAGGGAGCGGAACGATACCCGCATCAGCTTTGGCAGCAGCGGGAGGTTCAATTTCGCAGCAAGGGGCCTCTCTATCAGCGGGGTTGCACCAAAAGATGGAAGATTTAGGGGGGTCCAGTATAGAGTCAGCGAGCAGTAGGACCAGTTGGGCAATGTTTGGTGGCAATTTGGGGAGACCCCATCATGTAGCAACAGGATTATGGCCCCCAGTCAGTGGTTATGGGTTTCAGTCATCGTCTGGTCCATCTACAACAAATTTAGGCAGTGAAAGTTCTAATGATCTGCAAAAGATTGGGTTTCCTGGTTTTGACTTGCCAGCTGCTAACATGGGTCAGATGAGTTTCACCTCAATCTTGGGTGCGGCTAGCCATCAGCTCCCTGGTTTGGAACTTGGGTTGTCTCAAGATGGTTATATCGGGGTTCTAAATCCTCAAGCTATAAGCCAGATTTATCAGCAGATGGGGCAGGCTAGGGTGCACCAACACCAGCAACAACCCCCCGCTAAAGATGATTCCCAAGGATCGGGCCAGTAAAGTTGTAAACTTTGGGAGCAATATAAAAAAAAAAAGTAGCATTCCTGAGAGGATGGCCTTTATCTTGTAATGGTTTCTGTATTGTATAATTGGGAAAAAAAGAGTGAGAAAAATGGATACTTTGCCTCTCAGAATTCTACAGGGAGTGAATGGATTTTGTTTTGCCTCCTTTCTGCACTGCATCACCCAAAGTTTCCATTACAGAGGTGCTTTTCTTGATTATTGCCTTCTGTTGAACTTGAATCCTCCAAAGTCTTCAGAGAAGTATTAATCGTCTTGTGCCTTATTGATTTTGCTGTGGAATGTGCAGGTGGAGCTTTGCACAGCCTAGTAGGTTGGTTTTGGGCTTAACTTCTTGTTTGATTCAGAGGTGTGTTGATTATAATGTAAGGCAAATTTAATTGTTCGCTTCTTCTCTAGGTCTGGATGAAGTGGCAATCGGTTTGTTTGTGAAATTAAACATAGAAATTTACAGTCATAGATGTTCAGTTTCTTCTTGGATCTAGTAAGAATTCTTATTTCTCTAAAAGAATAAATTGTTGCATATAAAGGGCCAATTAGTGATTACCTCTGGCTGCCAGAGGCATGCATGTTTCCTGGTATATGGCATGTCTGCTAACATATGAGAACCTTGTTCTCTCGTCATCACTTCAAAGTTGTTCCTTTCGCTGATCTTTCCTTGTTTAAAAAACTCTTTCAGCTTATTTCCTTCGTAATCCTTTTGTTGAACCCTACACATTTTTCTCTCTTTATTATTCCTAAATTTTCATCAGTATGGATTAACTTTTATTTATGGAATTTGCATCCACTCACTGCTTGACAAATAAGGGGACTTCACTTTGTATGCATATAACATTGGATGTGTTATTAACTGTTTATCTATTCTCTGTTTGATGTTGAGCAACAGTATCTACATGAGCCTTGTCTTAAAATTTCTGCAAAAAATTCTCAGGCAAATTCAGATTTCTTTAAGCCATCGTACTTCATATTATTTTAGAAATCATTTTATGTTTGTGCAAGGTTTTATACTTTGCAAAGTTGACTGGCCCTCTTACAGTGATGCAGATTCAGGAGTCTTCACCATCCAAACTGTCAATATTTACCTTTTCTAGCTCTAACTATTCTTAATCCTTGATGAAAGGCTTGATTTCATCAATTTATGGCACTAAATGGCCTAAGTGACTTTTCTAAGCTGCCTTGTTAACTCTTGCTCCAGGTACCATGTTTTAAAGAAGTAATGTATTGGTGTGGGAAACCTTGACTCAAAGCTCTTAAAGATCTACATTTTTACAAAGCTTCTGGAGCTTTCTTTTAGCTTAAGAGTTTTTAATGATCAAACATAAATGAGAATATTGTTTTCTGATAGTGAAATGAATGCGCTGGCGCATACTTGGAAAAGTTCATATGTCTTCCATATGTCATCTTGACTTGGATTATTAGGCGGTAGCCAATTCTATCAAATAGTTTGGGCTATCCACTCTCATGCATTTGTCTTTGAAGGGATCACAATAGGACTGGGAAAACCGGAGCATTCATGTCTGAGGTCTTTTTTGTGTTGATAAAATCCTTGTATTCATAAATGCGTGGTTTTATAATTTTTTTTAAAAATTTTGTTACTTGATAATCTAGTGTTTAATTAGTAGCACAATGATTTCTATTTTGTTACTGCCTATGAGGTATTTCTTGAGTTATCTACATCTATCCTAATTGGATTAGGTCCAAGGCAAGTTCTCTTCTCTATTAGAAGGTGATGATTTCTATTCGGTGCTATGGTTGTTTTTGTTGGAATGTGGTTTACATGTGAGTAACCATATCATTAAGAAATCTGAATGAGATATCATATATATGCATGAAGGACCCAAGAACCTAATAGCTTAGTTTGGGCTAAAAAAATGGTGTCCAATATGTATGTATAAGCTTTCTGGTATGCTCTCATGGGCTTCAAGTGTGGTTTATCTTCTCAACAAGTGGTAACAGAGCCAAAAGTCACGACTTCGAGAAGTTATAGGTTTGAGTGCTAGTAGTATTGCTGGGGGGAGATTGTTGGCATTACGGGTTTAAGTCCTAGTAGTATTGTTGGGGAAACTGTTGGCAGATCGGAGATTGGCCGCGTCCATCAATTTCATGTACTCGAACACCGATATTAAAGGAGATTGTTGGCTGCGTCCATCAACTCCACGTGTTTGAACACTGGTATTAAAGGTTCGACTTGGATGCAGTGCAGAAACGGAACACCTAAGTGGTGTTGAGTCAACCTGGAGTGTATGTTTGAACACTGGTATTAAAGGTTCGACTTGGATGCAGTCCAGAAACGGAACACCCAAGTGGGTGATGTGTTGAGTGACTTGGATGCAGACGAAATACCCAAATGGACGATGTGTTGAGTCAACTTGGAGTGTAAGTTTGAGGAAGCTTATCTGAGATAAGGTTGAGTGTTGTGGTCTACTCCAAAAGCACATTAGAGATATGAGGTTGTCTTGCCCGAAAAGAGGTGTTGATAGGACTTACTCGCACGGGGCTGGGGGGAGATTGTTGGCAGATCGGAGATTGGCCATAATATGCAAAAACAGAAACGGAATACCCAAGTGACCACCCCAAAAGCACATTAGAGATATGAGGTTGCCTGGTCCGAAAAGAGGTATTGATAGGACTTACTCGCACGGGACTGGGGGAAGAGGTGTTGATAGGACTTGGAACACCCAAGTGGGCGAAACGGAATACCCAAGTGACCACCCCAAAAGCACATTAGAGATATGAGGTTGCCTGACCCGGAAAGAGGTATTGATAGGACTTACTCGCACGGGATTGGGGGAAGAGGTGTTGATAGGACTTACTCGCACGGGACTGGGGGAGACTGTTGACAGATCGGAGATTGGCCATGATATGTAAAAACGGAACACCCAAGCGAACGGAATACCCAAGTGACCACTGCAAAAGCACATTAGAGATATGAGGTTGGCTGGCCCAGAAAGAGGTGTTGATAGGACTTACTCGCATGGGGCTGGGGGGAGATTGACGGAACACCCAAGTGGGCGAAACGGAATATTCAATACCCAAGTGGGCGATGTGTTGAGTCAACCTGGAGTGTAAGCTTGAGGAAGCTCTGAGACAACCTAAGTGGTAAGGTTGAGTGCTGTGGTTTACCCCAAAAGCACATTAGAAATATGAGGTTCCCTGGCTCGAAAGAAGTGTTGATAGGATTTACTAGCACGGGGTTGGGGGGAGATTGTTGGTAGATCGGAGATTGGCCATAATATGCAGAAATGGAACACACCCCCAAGTGGGCGATGTGTTGAGTCAAGCGGTCTACCCCAAAAGCACACTAGAGATATGAGGTTGCCTAGCCAGAAAAGAGGTGTTGATAGGACTTACTCGCACGGAGAGCCGAGATGGGACTTGAAGTGGGCAATGTGTTGAGTCAACCTGGAGTGTAAGCTTGAGGGAGCCCTGAGACAACCTAGGTGGAAAGGTTGAGTGTTGTGGTTTACCTTGAAAGCGCACTAAAGATATGAGGTTGCTTGACCCGAAAAGAGGTGTTGATAGGACTTGCACGGGGAGTTGAGATGGGACTTGAATTTACTCGCATAAGGGAGAGCCGAGATGGGACTTGAACCCCAAAAGTGCACTAGAGATATGAGGTTGCCTAGCCGAAAAGAGGTGTTGATAGGACTTATTTGCACGGAAGAGCCGAGATGTGCTTGAATGGAACTCACAAGTGAACAGGGGAGATTATTGGGATATGATTTATATGTGAGTAAAGAATCTCATATCATTAAGAAATTTGAATAAGATGTGCTATATATGCATGAAGGACTCAAAAACCAAATAGCTTAAGCTTTTGGACTCAAATGGTGTCCAACATGTATGTATAGGTTTTTTGGTGTGCTCCAATGAGCTTCAAATGTGGTTTATCTCCCCAACAGTTTTAATATTCTTCCTATATTTAGTTTTTTAGCAGTGAAGATTTATTGTGAACATTCTAATACTAAAACTTTTTTTTTTAACGTTTTTGTGAAAATTAATGGACTCGGAGCACAAATGCACAGTTCACAAATTTGATGAAATTTTCTCTGAAATACTTAATGGAACTTTTATGAAATAATAAATACTGTAAGATTAAGAATTTAAAAGAGAAAGCTTAAGGAAATAGTGCAAGAATGACCTTTCCTAACATGTCATTTAAAGAAATCAATGATTATATCCATGGGATAAAATTACTGCAGCCCTTGCATTTTTGGAGCTGGGAGGTTTTGTGTGTATTAAAATTGATAGTTCTGGTTAACTTTGCCTTCCCCCATTTATGTAATTGGCACTGAAGCCTGTCATCATATGCTGTTTTCTAGTAGAGTATCTTCCTGTTGTATATTTCATACTGCATTCATTGATACTTACACCTAGTGCCAGTCTTTCAGGTTGACTATCGTCACACATACTTTCTTTTGGTGCATGACTAGAGGAATCTTAATCAGTCATTTGATTTAACATTTGATTGTAGTGTTATTTTTGCAACCCTCCTTGTTTTAGTCTCCTAGGTTCCAAAGTCTATGGTGGTATTAGGCTGCCTGATAATGAAATTTGACTTAAAACATCATGGCTCGGGTAAAACCCTGGATTGGTTTTTACTGGAGTCTCCTTTCCTTGGTTCCCTTCCATTTACGGAATCTCAATCTTCTCAATTACTGCCTGGCCCTTTAAGTCATAGAGCATCTCTTCCTGTTTTAATTGTTTCACTTTAATGTTGCTTTAAGGTGTCAGTTTCAGCTTAAAAAAATTATCAACAACAAAATTATATGATGTGTTGATGATGCCAATTTGAGTAGACTTATGTTCCAAATAACTGGAAATGGATTATTTATACTCAAACTGCACTTAAAGTTGGGTTTTGTTCTGACAACAGGACTACACTTTGCAACCAATCTCACATTTACACATCTGTTTCAGCATGCTTAGGCTTAAATTTTGTTGTTTCACAGCATAAGCATGGTTTGACTCCTTGGAAGCTTCAAAGTAGCCATCATTTTCAATCA